TCAGCGAGCCAAATCATCTCAACGGCTCTACAAACCATGAACTATTACAATTTCTGATGTTTCCTGACGTCTAAAAAGTAGGTCAGACATGATTAACTTGGTCACAAAAGTAATCAGTTTTTGTATTCGTAACGAAGTATGCTCTTAATCACTATGGCAAAAATTGGACTTCATAATGCTTTCAAATAATGGATTAAGAAGTGCTGCCATAATGTCAGTCACCGCGTTTCTACCTCGGGTGCTTCAACTCCACCGAATCACCACAAAGCCAAATCAAGTCGAGGTAAGCTTAAACACCTACTCTAGAATCTTCGAGGTTTATGCTAGAGAATCATAAAAAACTAAGGTGGAAAAGCTTCTTCAGTGATAGAGTCAATCGGGTCAGGTGCAACCTCTCAAAAGGTCAGGCGACCTGAGGTTTTGAGGGGTTGCGCCTGATTCAATTAACTTGCCTTCAAAATTCATAAACCGCTCCTATTCTGCTATGAGTATTGAGATCATAACTTCTTCTTGCTACAGTGGAGATCTGGAGCCGAACGTCCCACCCCTAGAAAAATTATGGTCCTTTTCAATAGACCCATTCAGATCAAAATCAGGCGTCAAATTACGTGTGATTATAAAGTGCAGTCACAGAAAAATCGGGTGTGCACTTCTCAGATATCTCGAAACTCTCTAGAAAAGAGTGATGTCCTCCCACACTCTGAGGTTTCGGAGGTCAGCAGGAGGAGGGGGGGGGGGACTCGTTTTCGAGGACCTGATCTCTTGCTCAACTCTGGTTAAGCTGACGCTTACTTTCACAATCTTTTTGTTGTAGAGCAGTTCAACATTGAAAGTCGCTCACTATTGATAGCTAAGACTGACACGACCTAAGTGGCTGCGGCGTACGCGCCGCACCTTGATATATTTACGTGTTCTGTGTCTGTTATTGCATTGATCCTAGTGAACCCGCGGCACATACGCCGATGTGTACAGAGGGAATCTTTGTGTTTTTCTAATAAACGGTCAACAACTCAAAGAAGTCTTACCTTTGCTCGGCGTAACAAGAGTCAGAGCGCCTGCTGAGAGTTCGGCCAGCGCTCGCAGAAAATTTCGTATTGCTGCCCGCTGGAAATGCGACAGTAAAGGAAGTACCGCTCGCTGAAGGTTTGGCCTGCGGTCGGCCCGAAATTTGGCCGACCGCAGAAAAGAGCGAACTCGCAATCCGCCTGCCCCCGGCGCTTGATTGAGCATAGGGATAGACATTGTAGTTGTTTATATAAGCCGCACTCGAGATTGGTAACAATATTTATTGAGTGGCTGACGTTTCGGCAGATCGCCTTCTTCAGAGCCTGGAATGGACAAAACGATCTGCAAACTATCCGATCAAACGTCTCTGCCAGCTCCACAAGCAAAGTTCTAAGACTCTGCCTGTTCACTGACTAGACTGCCAAACCAAACGCTTACCTTTTTAAAATGCCGATAGCATACAAGTGCCTGAGCGAGCGCTAATAAATGACCATGTATGTCACGCTATGCATATGCCTACAGTGAGTCAAAGAGGTGACCTAGGTAAGGTGCGAGTTCACGAGTGATAGAGAGGCACTCCTCCTTGCGATTCATTTGTGGACTTTTTGCGTGAATCCAAAAGGCTTCCAAACATTTGCGGGCCGATGTTTGGGATTCATGGCATCTACGATCGCACCTGCACAATGCCTAATTGTATTATCTGCCCTGCGGGCAGGGGCGGGGATTGCATGACGTAAGGGGTCATCTACTTTATCACCTGCGCGGGCTGCGGCGACATGTACGTCGGTGAAACGGCGCCCTTTATGCGTCCGCATTGAATAGCATTTAGATGGCAGGGATGGGCACGACCACACCTCTAGGCACTCACAGGCTGGTGAAGCACGCTGGAGAAAACTTTGAAGTTTCAGTAAAGATCTTAGCGCATGAATCCCAAACATCAGCCCGCAAATGTTTGGAAGCCTTTTGAATTCACGCAAAAAGTCCACAAATGAATCGCAAGGAGGAGTGCCTCTCTATCACTCGTGAACTCGCACCTTACCTGGGTCACCTCTTTGACTCAGTAGGCATATAAATAGCGTGGCATACATGGTCATTTATTAGCGCTCGCTCAGGCACTTGCATGCTATCGGCATTTCCAAAAAGGTAAGCGTTTGGTTTGGCAGTCTAGTCAGTGAACAGGCAGAGTCATAGAACTTTGCTTGTGGAGCTGGCAGAGACGTTTGATCGGATAGTTTGCAGATCGTTTTGTCCATTCCAGGCTCACGTGTAAGACAGACCACTTTAAACTCCTGCAATCCCCCTTGCCTTCCAATTGGATGAATAACACAAATAGGATTCAAACATGAGCATGATTGCGTGTCAACCGCCTATGTGTATTTCGTCGCATATTGGACATCCAAATAGCTTCCCAGCAGAGCCAAGCGTATTGATGCGATCCTAGGCCCTCTTCTACGACCCCTACCCCTTGAAGGTACCTATTCGTACGACCCCCCTTCTCGCCTACCCCCCTCCCCCTCCCATCTACCCCTCCCACTTTCTTTTGCGGTAACCTGCATAAGTGAATGTCAATCTAGATGGCTGCCAGTGACCTCAGTCAAAACTATAGATCAGAAATAGATAACTACTTACAAATTGGGAATTAATGCAAGTAATGCTTCGCCATTCGAAACCAACTCACAAATAATTCTGAGTAGATTGGGAAGTAGTAAAATTCCTCGAAGATTTGGCTATGTTTATTGTGGTTGAGAAAATATGAATGGAAAGGGAATTATCTGACAAAGCAGAACATCGATTCCAATCTAAACGATAATTAAGCTTTACTTTAAGATTTACAAATTATTGACGGTCACCGTTGGTAGAGATATGGGATTTTGTCGAGTGTGTGAGACTTCAGTGGGGCTTCGGAAGCAGAATTTCTATGCCAAGGGGTACGTGCAACATCTCTGGCACGCATACACACCTTCAATAATGCTTGAGTTTCTGCAAGTTTTTTTTTTGAATTTTCAAGCATACTTCTGGCCTGCAAATTCAGTCCCCGTACGTGACACCATTTTTTGAAGGGAGAAAAAACGATGCCTTCAAAGCGCAAAATATGTTTTCGACTAAAAGGCTTACCTCCTACTTTTTGCAAAGATTTTCGTGCGAAAAATTCTGTTTTAGCGCCATCCAGAACGATGTCAAAAGCGTGCATGAGCATGGTATTTTGAAAATTCGTAACTAAAGAAAGGGAGAGACTGAGAGGCTGCAATGAACAGGCTTTATAGTATAGTGCAAGCTATCCACGGAAAAAGTTTCAGCCATTGGGGAGCAGTAAGCTCGAAAAAATCTAGATGCGCTCTCGCAAATAGATGCGATACTAAAAAGCAAGAAGTGGGACTTTGAGCTCGAAATTTTGTATCTCACCGGAGAAGTCATGAAACAGCCTCAAATTCTTATGGTAAAAAGTACAGGGATGGCCTCGTATTACAGCAAGTTTGCAGTTAACAAGCTTCAATAGATCCGGAGAAATTTAGATGAGGCGCAGATACGACCCCCCTTTTCTCATTTTTTGCTACCATACATAAAATCAGAAGAAAATCCACAGTTGACAAAATAACATCAAATTTTGCACTGATATAACAGAGCTTCTTCAAAATACAGATAAATCATATGGGCCCGTGAAACATTGCAAAAAGATTTAGAAATTCATGATGGTCACAGCTGGTAAAGATATTCGCTTTTGTCGAGTATGTGAGACTTCAGGAAGGCCTCAGAAGCAAGATTTCTAAGGCAATCGGTACATTTGGCATCAAATCATTCATCAAATCATACATCCTTCAAAAGCGTTTTGAGCTCTTGTAAATGTTTTTTTTTTTGAGAACACAGATTTTTTATCTTTTTTAATTCCGATTTTCACTTTTTCATAAATTCATTGTAAAGAGCATAATTAATTATCTGCTTTTCGATTCCCTTCTAAGCTTAGGGTATTTTAACCTAACTACCCCCTCTTACGACCCCCCACCTTAAGTACCCTCTTTACGACTCCCCCCTCCCCTCCCCCCGAGAGTCGCATCACAAGCTTGACACTGCTTCCCAGGTGCCTCATACTAGGATACAACCAAAGTTCATCATAACTCATCGAATGCCCTTAAAGCACTTTTTTGTTCGCGTTCGCGAGCTTCACACTTGCCCAACTCTTTGGTTGAAAACTACTGTCGTTAATGGCAAAGGCTCCACAAGATGGAGCCTTGTCAGATTTTGGCGGTATCAGGCAGCAGACCCACCAAATGCACCGCAGCCTAACCCTACCTTACACATGCTGCGAAATCTGATACTGCTTCAATTCTCACCAGCCGGCCCACTTCCGTTGGAGGGGGAGGGAGTGTCGATGGTGGTAGCGCTTTAGGACTGCAGCACGTTTTGGAGAGGGAAGGGGTAGGGCTAGGGTGCACTTGGTTGGAGGGTCTCCTACCTAACAACATCAAGATTTGACCAAGGTCCATTTTGCCAAACCACTGCTTTCGAAGGCAGCGTCCAGGCATTCGCCCCTACCGTAGACAACTTGCTTCGGATTGCAAAGTTTTGCGCAGAGATCCATAAGGGCGGCGGGTCCAGACGCAATAGCAATCCGATGCAAGTATTCGGCCAAATACAGTAAAGGTCTGGTTTGCGGACATCTTAGTCGCGAGTGCAGCACATGAGCAGCCACTCTGGCAATCCGTGGTCAGGCCTCAGAAATTGTTTCCACGTGCGATCCCCATGCGCCCAGATGTATTTCAAGCATCATCTTTGCGGAAGACTGGCTTACACGTGGATGCCAAGAGCATGTGCGGAAGGAAGTGTAGTCCAGGATGAAGGCAGCTATCATTGCTATACGCTCCCTACCGCTTTGTCATGAGCAAATTAGCATTTGAATCCGATCCCTGCGGCAATCTCCGGTGGCTGTAGCATACTGTAGTACGGCGCTCTTTCACAGTAGAGTACCGCAGGTGCTATAGATCAACTATTTCATTTATAGCAATCACGAGATTATAATTTATCTCTGACCAAAACGTTAAGAACAAAAACACATGACCAGCTAAGACTCTTATAACATTAAGTTTTTAAACAACAATAAATAAACTAGTATTCGTGATTTTATACTTGCAAAATCTAGCTGAACAATACAATCCAACAAAATGCTCACAACCAAACGTAAAACTGGGATAGAATTCACTTCAAAAACAGATTATCAAGTATTCATAATATTAGCTGCAGTCACCTCCGAAATTTATAGCATCCTCCTGAACCTCAGTTCATAAAGCGAATGTACCACGTAAACTCGCACTTACCTAAGAAAACAACATTCATGGAAAATTATCTCAACACCACAGACTCAACAGAAACCTCTAACAAAGACTGTCTCGAGTAGAACTGCCAAAACATGAGTTGTTCAAGAAAGTTCTTAGCGTAACTAGGATCATGACAAAAAATATGTCTCAGAGAGTAAACAAAAAATCATCTTGCGTAGTCAGAAAGGTTAAGTCAGACTAATTAGGACAAACAGGGAAATTTACAAGATAGATAAGCATGTAGCTTAGTGTTAGAGTTGATTCATCCGTGGATTATTGTACCCCGCAGAAAAAAGTCGCGTAAATGTCCGCAACTTGACTAGAACAAACCGAAGAACGATTTACTGGATTTGGAGGGTGAGACCTAAAAGTTCGTGAATGAAAAGGTGCAACACAAAGCATTCAACATGTAAACGCTGATTTTCGAACAACACGTTCGAAAATCTGCAAACTCACGTGATTCATAAACTTCGATTGGCTGAGGTTTATGACGTCTTCATAAGCCTTTTCTCGGGTTTTTAACTTTTCTTGGATTTCTTTATCTTCTCGTTTCAATCGCTCTACTGCTTCCTCAAATCTGAAAAAGCGGAGATAACGGAAAGCGTTATCTCGTTCGAAGAAAAAACGAAAAAAGTAAGATTAGCATATTGCAGAATACAGCGACAAAGTAAAACAACTGATTTCAACCATCTACAAATACAACATAGTCTTACACTACCAAGCGTCTAAGCACGTTACTCAAGAAAACCGTTTTCTCCAGTAAAACTTTTAAAAAAATCAGAACTCACTTCTTCTTTGCATCAGCGTACTCCGTCTGGAACTTCGACATCTCAGTTTTCTTCGCTAGCAAATCTTTTTCGACCTGGAGCAATGTGTTAGAGTCGAATTCAAAAAGTGGGACTATCACTTACCTCAGTAATATCTTTCATAATGGTATTACTATCACCTGGGAGAGGTAGGAACGTAATGCTATACCTAGAAAATAAGCAGATCCCTTCCTAAAAACGGTCGCAAAAAAAAAGAAATTGTAAGACAAAAGGCTTTGCTCCAGAAATGAAAGAGAAGGCACAATTTTGAGACAAAAATTTCCAATTTTTCATCTCTAATAGTGATTGCAAAAGTCACAAATAATGTGAGAAGCGAATAAAAAAGATCACTCACTTGACGGCATTTAACCAATTATCCCCGTATACACATAAAATGTGTTTTCTGGAATCGAGTAAGTGGGCAACCTGAGTTTCCAGAGTATCCAAATAATGGAATGTAAGTGGCGTATCCCTACAAAAGATTGGATAAATCCAGAGATGCAGATAAATGCAGAAAGACAAACGCACGAACGAAGAACAACGACCCTCACCTATCTTCCATGTGGAATTTCATAGGTACAAATTCTCCTAAATTAGCAATCGTGAAAGGTACAAAGAACATCTCGGCTTGTGTGCCTGACTTCTTCTTTTGACTTTCCTAAACAATCCACAATTATGGATCTAAATAAAAAGTTTGCTAGAAATATTCGTGAATTACGTATCGTAAGGGAGGAAAAAGGAGAGAAACTTACTTGGATCATCCGTACTCCGCCTTCCTTGTCAAATAGTACAAGCTTGAATTTGCTAGATGATGCCGACTTGCATACTATGCAAATGCCATGTTCTCTGTACTCTTCTTTCATTTCTATGCTATAGAAAGCTCCCTCCTGCAAAAAAGTTCTAAACTCTAGGTCTTTAGAAAAAATAGTTCAAACAAAAAGATATCCACGAAATCAAATGTGAATCTGACACGCAATATTTGGCTCTCCTACTAACCTGTTTTGCTATACTGGCCGAGATGCATTCCCCAGGATGGATTAGTCGTGCTTCAACATCACAAGCCGAGCCTTCACATAGTTGACGAGCTTGTGCAAGAACCTGAACAGCCAAAACTAGAAAGATAGATGGAAGCAATCAACAAAGATAAAGGGTGGACTCCTGAGATTATGGCCCCATTACCAACTATCAGGCAAGCAGATAGGAAAACTGAAGAGCAGTGAGCATTAATATTACGTAAAACTGCTGTGCTACGAAAGTCTACTGCATTTTCAAAATGTCATCGACAGCAAAATCGAAGCTAGTTTTGAATCAAAATAAAAAAGGATAGATAATAAATAAAGTCTCAAAGTCAGCTAAACTCACCTTCGGCACAATCTGAGTAGGAATAGGAACTCCTAATTTGTTGAACAACGCTCCAAAAACACGACCTGAACGGCAACTTTTAATCTCTCAAATATAAAAACAGGTCACTTACCTACGCCTCCAAGTTCTGAAACATCGAAACCTTCAAAATCTAGCTGACTAGAACTTGGACCGCTGACGTCGTACTGTCGGCGCTTATTAGGGTCACTTAGAACTGAGTATGCTATCGAGATCTTCTTGAATTGTTCTTGGGCTGAAATCGAGACATAGAAAGAAATGTGAGGTGCTTGGTGCTGGAGTTCTTAAAGCGAAATTATAGAAAAATGGAGAAAAAATCGAATAGGGTTCTATTGCTTATGTTTGACTATCTCTCGGAGCACTTTTTTTCCTTACAAGTGAAGGATACCTTCTCTTTCACTCTTCTTATCTGCTATGCGCTTCTCTAGAAAAAGCTAAGGGTGGTTGAAAGTGTGAAGTTATTGGGGTTTTGATGCGTAATGTGCTTTGAAAACCAGCTTGGGAGTAATTAGTGGCATGAATTTGAGTGAACTGACCACAAGCAAGGTATACATACACCGAACACATGAAAGTCTTTGAATAAGCAGTTCTTGAAGATGTTGGCACTGAATGTTCATCAAATTTGGACATTTAAACGCTTGTAGCTTCTTTTAAAGAGAGCTTTGCAGATATGGATGTTACATTTGATCAGCAAATCAAGACGCATCTAACACGTGCATCTAACGTGCAAATGATTTCGGTGCACCACTGCGACAGATATCCTTTTCTTGCTAAAACCGATCAGGGGTAAATTTGAGGTTGGAAAATTTGTATCCATGCGGGACCAAATGAGAGGCCTACTTTGGTATGACATGTACATTCCATAGGCTTGCTTTGGACAAACCAAACAATGTTCTTTCTACTCTAGCAGAAAGTTTTCGACATTCCCTCGCTCCCATCCACACTCCACATGTACATATCAATTGTTCAGCCTATTTCGAAACCACTGTCATATCGTCAATGCCCTTTTATGACTGGTTACGTGATTCATGCAATCACATGAAAAAAGGCACTAAATCGCGGAAACTAGACATTATATAGAAAAAAGCCATTGCCGATACAGAGGCGCGAATACAAAACAAGTCTTGCAAAATCAAAACATTGTTCCAGTGTCTAAATCCGCGAAACTTTTCTGCAAAATGCGCGCACGTTCGGGTGGAACCGGACATGTTTACATAACACAAGCGATATTTTGATTATGGATAATTTCTCGAATGATAAAAGTATTGATGAATAAACAAAAAACGGATTGCAAACAATGTATGACTACATTAACATATGTAAATGAGTAGAACGGTAAAGACAACTTACCATGTGTGTCTCCAGGATTTCTATCTGGGTGATATTTCAACGCTAACTTGCGATATGCGGCTTTGATTTCCGATTCACTCGATTTTTTCTCAACCCCAAGTAGCTCGTAATAATCTTCTTGTATCGTATCGGGTGTCTTTGGAGGTGACATACCTAAACAAATGAAATTCCAGAGAATTACCCAGAAAAAGTACATAGAAAAGCTGAAGGATGAAAAAACGGCGACGATATGTAACGACATGAAATTTGCGAGATTAACGGCATTAGGCGAAACCACCAGGAAGACGCACTGGTAAGGAATGCAAGATCAATATTCGGCTATGCGTCGAGCTAACATGGTTAAAAAAGAAAAAAATGGAGAGCATAAGCATGCAATGACGAGGTAATGCAAACTTGCGACGGTTACGAAAAACCAAAATTCATAAACTTGCGGTCCAATTCGCTCATTCAATTTCTTCAGAATGATTGATCGAAAATAAGGAAAAATGATTACTCGCGATAAAAAACAAGGAAATTAAGAAGTCAAGAGCTCGAAAATTATTAGCGACTATTATGAATGTCTTACAACTAAAAATGATCGATAGATAGCTGCCACTCTTGATTCAGTGCATGCGTACGCAAGTGCACAAGAGTCTCCATTTGCGAAATCACGATCTGACTAAACAAATATCGGATAGCAAGATCAACAAACATATTACTATTAAGATATCCACAAGTTGATGCGATATTTCCAAAAACTATTTTAAAGAACAAGAGCAAAAAAAAGATACCAACTACGAAGAATAATTCAAATGCTTAAGAAACATGGTAGTAAAAATGCAAGAATTTTACATGCTGAAAAGATAACGAGAAAAGTTATTGTTTTAATTTTATGAACCTACCACGCAGTTATAGGGAGAACGCAACGAAAGGCACTGTAATGATGCGATCGATGGATTACAACATACAAAGTGCTAACAGCCTTCAGCGAGGGAGTACTGATGAGGTAGTGAAGTGGCCAAATGACGCAAATACAACCTCAGAGCATATATTTGCGCTCAACGGAACATCGATGAGCAATGCGTGGCAATGTGGAACAATGACGTCACTAGTGCCAGACAAAGAAATATCGACCTTTGCCGTGTGAAGACATTTTGAAGGTTTTGAAATCGTCAGATAACAAGGAAGATTATGGATCGGGAAGGTGAATAACACTATTAAAGATTATAAGTACATGGAAAGAAGTAAACTTGTTCTGTTCGAAAACACAACTTGTAAATTTGCAGCGTACGCTGACTAGCGGACATTGCTGCACGCCAATGGTTTTTGTTTGCTTCAACTCTTTGTCTACAACGCGCAAGCTGCGTAGCGAAAAATTTACACGCAAACAGAAAAAGCCATCAGATGGATTCAATTCTAAAATATCTATATTAAATTTATTTTTTATATGGTGCATTCCCCAAAATTGTTCCCATATGAATCATCAACGTGGCTGCATTCCCGAAAACTGTTCCCATATGAACCATCAACGTGGCTGTTTTTCGACCAATTAACATATCAACTTCGAATAAGCGCCTTAAATTTGCTGGAGTCGACGTGTTAAAACGATCAAAAGGCAGCCATGTTGATGGTTCATATGGGAACAATTCTGGGAGATGCACCATACATAACGACTTCAATTCTAACATCTAGCTAATCAAGCATAACCATTCAAAAAATTTGCTAACAAAAGACCGCAATGCAGAGTTAGTTGCAGCGCGCCTGATGAACGCCAGGGGGCAAGATAGTGTCAAACACTTCCTAGTATTTGCTTTCATGCAAGTGCGAAGATGAAGCTGTGCAAATTTACGTAATCAGTTTTTTCTGGACAAAAATCGGGTACAATGCTTACAACAAACAAAAATTAAACGGTAAAATCCCATCTTGTCCATCGGATAAATTGAATTCTTCCAATGGGCAAGATGGGATTCCATCACTTGCTTTTTGTTTGTTCTAAGATTTTTTACCCGATTTTTGTCCTGGAAAAACCGATTGCGTGAACTTCCACAGCTTTATCTTCACGGTTGCATGAAAGCAAAAACCAGGAAGTGTTGGCTGAGAAGTTCTACGTTATTATGGTGCATCCCCCAGAACTGCTCCCATATGAATCATTTTGACATGTCAACTTCGAATAAGCGCATTAATTTTGCTAGAGATTGTCTTAAAAAGATCGAAAGACAGCCACGTTGATGGTTCATACGGGAACAATTCTGGGAGATGGACAAGTGGCAAGTGGCCATTTGCACTTTTCCAACGCGACACGCTAATTTGAAAGGCCCCATTTAAATCTACATAGTCGGCTGCGCGGGCGGTCGCGTCGCGCACCAGTTTTGTCACCAGGTCACGCTTGCTAGGTCTCATCGTTTTCGACCACTAGGTTAGATAGCAGAATGGCACTTATGTCAGAATACGACTTCATGCGTTTTTCGAAAAATTCACGCCAGCGGTGTGAATAGTGCCCCGTTCTTATATTTGTCACTTCACCGGCTTGAAGAGTGCGAAAGGTTCATACATCTGTGCAAGTGATGAAGTCCCGAATGATGGTTGTGACCGAGCTCCAGGCCGGCATCTGTGTTTTGTTGTTTTGTTTCGTTTTCTGTTCTTGTTTTCTTTTGATGAATCACTTGCTCGACTAAGGCTAGGCGGTGCCAATGGGATCAAATAGCGTGTTTGAAGAAGCAAGATTGGATGCTTGGTATGCCCAAGAATTTGCTTTTCAGATCTACGCTATCACAGATGAACTTTTTTCACGTCAAATCCATAGAAGGAAAAATTAGTCTTGGTGTTATTTGCTCCATCTTAAGTAAGCTTCTCTGGTCATGTTAGCGTTGCGCAGGTTGCTGGAAAACGCTAATTTTCGATGGGATTATCGTGTTCTGGGTGTGGGTTGATACGACGTACACATTGAAGCTGGTATCATGTTTGGATCGATAGTAGGTATCATTTATTCTGAAACTAGAAAACTCGAGTACGCTTTGCACACATTGTCTCAGCAAGCCTCTGTGCTTTTGTTCTTCCCTAGTTCGGAGTAATAAATAGATTGATTACAAGTGTGGAGTTGCTAATGACACAGACGAACTTGTTTAGGTAGTGTATGCAAAGCGTACCCGAGTCTTTTAGTCTCATTGTCAGAATAAATGGTCATCTTTTCTGTGAAACACTCAGGAACGCAGTCATATGCTGCCTTGAATGACGATGACGTCTTTCGAACTCCAAGTACAGTTATACAAAAAACAAGGTGAAGCGCTGCATTAACTTGTTAGTTATACGTATGCAAAGCATACTCGTATTCAAGTCTCAGAATGAGCGACTGCATATCAAACATGGCCAAAAGTAATAACCAAAGAAGGATAAACTCAGACTGAACAAATTGTTGGAGGTGAATGCAATCGGAAACTTCCAGTGAACATCCACTTGTAAGGAAACAGCAAGGAACTTCTTAGACCGTCAAAGAAAAGATTTGAAGGCCTTGATCCTTTTACAATATCGCGTTAATCCACACCTCGGGCCGACTCGACACTTCTCCGTACTTGTGTTGCCTCATATGACGTTCCGAATTAGTTAATCGAAGCATCACACTCTATACCCATAAACCGACAATCCTGCACGGGCTCAAGTAATCGAGAGATTGAAAGGTGATTGGTGATTCTAAAGAAGGTGCAGAAGCAGCCGGAAAATCAAACTCAGAATGAAAAACATTCAATCCTGATTGGGTTCTACCATCGACAGTGAAATGTTCTCTCCTAAGCGCGACCTGAGCAAGCGTGACCCAAGCACACAAAGTGGCTGCGCGACGCGACCGCCCGCGCAGCCGACTATGTAGATTTAAATGGGGCCAATTTGAAAGAACGCATCGGATGTCGCCATAGAACGAACTGGAATACTTGGCCATTATTTGCTCCAAAGTGACTGCGGGGTAGACGGACATAATCAGTAGTTTTGATAAATCTAGTAGTTTTGACACATAGGATATGTATCCCCTGCGGTGTTGACAACATATGTGCGTGAAAAATGGCCATTTAGGCACTTGCGCCCAATCTTTCCGCCAAGTGTTTCGGAATCGCGAAAATAGTGTACGAAACGTAAAACGTACTAGAGTAGAGTTTGGTTATCCTTCAAAAGCAAGATTGCTTGTCCTACCAGATTTCCAAAAATATTCCTAATTAGAATTGCAGAATTGAACTGATATTACAATGCGGAAAGAAATAATGATGGTAAGAAAGCAATGCGGACATAGATAGAGTCGAGTGTACACCGCACATGCCAACAAACTGCAAACTTTCTTCGAACCAGTGAGAAAAAGGAATTGTCATACTAGCAAAGAAGATTCAGTTGTCACCCAGACCGAAGAGAAAATATGCATAACGTAAAAAAGAATAAAAAGTTGTAAAGCGAAGATATTTCTACCAGAGCAGTTCGAAATCAATAAAGACGTGCAAATATGCTTTTCTAAACCCTGAAAGAGAGATAAGGCTAATAAGCAAAGTTAGTAATGTAAGAGGATAAAGACAGACTATCTAAACTACATAGTCATTGGGTAACCAGCGAATGACAGACTAAATATAACCCAGTTCCCCAGCAGAGAAAAAACCAAAATGAAAAGACGTGGTGACGCACCTCCAAACAATCGAGATCGTATTCTGAATTTGACCATCCAGCTTAACAACAATATCAAAATGACAGTGAACTTTCAAAGCTGTAAAGTGTAAGAGCGATAAGAGCCTGATGAATCACTGACACATTTCCAATATTCTTGGTCGTAGTTTTGCGTGTCTTTCCTACGGAACACACAATTCACTGGACGGCTCAAAAAGTTTTGCACTTTCAATCACCTGTCTCCGTTCCTCAAATGTGTTTTATTAACATGATCTGTGTTTGAATATTCCAAATTCCAGGAGAAGCATGAGCAAGCTGAAGATATTGAAAAGTTTGCAAAAGGACGAGAAGATGGAAGTGGAGAGTGATGGAGAGGCCAGTCATGCTTCCGATGAAGAGTCATCAGATTCAGAACATGAAGGAATGGTGGGTATATAGAGTATCTTGAATTTTGCTCATTTTTTCATCTGCTATTATGATCGCAGATCCTATCTAACTAGTACATTTGTACATTTTTTGAAGGGCGGGCATATTTCACGCGACTTCAGTCGCGACGCGATCTGGCAATATTCCAACTGTCAATAACTCACTGTAAGCACATTTTAAATGTCCGGAAAATAGGGCATTTTATCGGTCCACGTAAAGGAACGGCTATAGGTTGCCGGCAACGGCTATGGAGCCTGCTGGCGTTATAGGACCTTATGATAGCCTCCACGTTTCGCGTTCTCTCTAAGCTGTCTTTGACCCCGGCAACGCCGACAACTTCGGCAACCCGGACAACCTCGACAACCTCGTCAACTGTTGCCGGCAACCTATGGCCGCTCCCTAAGGTATACACATTACGCATGTGCAGTCAACTAGTGTTGGATCTGAAGACTTTTGGCGAATTGCCAGATTGCGCTGCGACTGAAATCGCGTGAAGTATACCCGGCCTTGACGCCCAAATTCATGGACTTTGTTGTTCAAACCACTTTACTGCTACATTTACCAGTACTCTAGTATTTGGTGATACGGATCCTATTCGGCCCGCTAAGGTGTGAAGAGAGGCAATAATTGCTTGTGGAAAATCATTTGGACCAAAATAGACCGTTGTATGCAACAAGTCTGGTCTTGCAAATTGCAAAGAGTTTGGCGTTTTCGGTTGGTGCGGACGAAATCGATCCAATCCGAATCCAGGATGAGTATAGCCACCCTTTGATATGAAAATGATACCCCATGCCGATCTATGCAAAACAGTACCCAAAGTTTTCACGTCAGTGGATGGCCATACTTAACCTGCATCTTTATGAAAATACTGCCCAATGATAATGTCCAATGAGGCGAGAGCAACTTCACTGACAAGGGAAGCATGTTTAGCGAAGTGGCCTTTTTAGATGGGATGTATGCCGTATTGAAGGGCATAAAATGCTGATTCTAATCTGCCTTCCTTCACTGAATAACGTTCATGGACGAGGAGGTTTTGAGCGCTATTGAGACAAAAAATTGATTGTGCAAGTAGGACAAAAATAGCTGTAATAATTCTTCCAGCTGCTCAATGGTGCGGTGATAATCATCAGATCACTTCATTGAAAATACTCCAAAATAAAAAATATATCACACTTGGTTGCATTATTGAAGGCCGATAAGATTCTAGAAACTCATTTTTTCCAAAATGCATTTTGCTTTCTCGCTCCAAAGAACGCTCATAACTCCTCGCCAATAAACGTTCTGCGCATAGGGAGTGCTGATCTGGAATCAGCGTTTTATGTCCTTCAATATGGTATACCTAACTTGAAAAGTCCACTTCGACTGAACAAGCTTCCCTTGTGAGAGGATTCTGTATAATTACCTAAATCAGTGGAGCTTTTAGAGCAAGAGTTTTTCTTAAACGTCAGCTAGTTATTAACAGCCGTATCGCCCTTCAACTTGCTGTTCATCGTGTCATGCAGTAGATAAGGATTTGGTACATCCCCTTCTCGTTACGGTAGTCACATCTTGACCCTGAGTTTCCACCTTCTGGCTGCTTTTCTATGGGTTCTTATTAAAAACTTACAAAAACTTACTGACCATACATTGACGGTGTCATTGCGTCACCACTGTTACCATCGTTAACGTCGTTTATAGTAATTATTCAAAATTGTTACCGTTTCGCTTTGGATTTGGTTGGTTTTACACTCATTTTCCTCTCGTAAACCGCTCACGGGTGATCACCCTTTCCTTTACATCAAGAAGGCAAACGTTGTCACAAGATGGCGGTATCGCAAAGGAAAAATCACTGCAACTTATCATTCATCCATTTGAAAGCGGAAAACCGAATAGCGGAAGAACGCTTGCTATAAACCACGGTGCAACATTGGTAACGAGGGTAAGGGAACCGTCATACTTCGCCGAGAAAAGCCCAAAAAAGCCCGAAAGAGCCGGAACATAGAAACGAATTTTTGGTAGAATTCTGACCTTATTTTGTTGTGCAGGCGACAGAAAGCAAAAAGACTCGGTTGCGAAATCAACGCACATGCCTTAGCATTGAAACAGAAGGGGCGTTTCGGTTCTTTCGGGCTTATTTGGGCCTGCTTGGGCTTTTTTTGCTTTTTGGGCCTTCTTCGACTTTTTTCGGCGACTGACGGGCCCCTAACAGTGGTAATATCGACAGCGGTAACAGCGGCAATGTATGGCCGAACCCTAACCACATTTTCATCATCGTAAACGAACACTGAAAATGTGCATTTTCGAAGAGTTTGCCCTTTGCAGGCTTCTGCAAACTACATTTCTATATTCTATAGAAACAAAATCAATTTAGGAAAGCGGCTGCGCTTTCTTTTTTCTCTTTCCCTTGCGAGTCTTGCGAAATTGAGTGTTTTTCATTGGAATTCCTTCAGCCATTAGCTTTTGAATCGTGTATTTTGAGTGATTTGTGATGGCAATCATTCTAGGATGCGGATCAAAAGGCAGAAGAGAAAAAGCGAGCCGTGCTTTGGACAAATCGCGAACGAGTGTTGGTGCTTTGTTCTAGAGGTGCAGATGTTCGCACTAGACATTTGATGAATGATATAAAGGTTGGTTCTGAGAGGTTTCTTTTTGATAATCGCACGTGAGCAAGCAACATTCACGTTTTTAGGTATTAATGCCACATGCGAAAGGTGACTCAAAGCTGGACCGGCAAAAGTCATTGGTAGTGATAAATGAGATTGCTGAAATGAAAAACTGCACAAAGATTCTATATTTTGAGAGCAAGAAGCAAAAGGTAAGTATTGCCGCTTTGATTTTTTGGTGATTTCTTTTTGATTTTCAATCTTCTATTTTCTTAGAAAATACCATTTTTATTGAAGCCCTGTTCACCCCATTGTTTTGCAGGATACATACTTATGGATGAGTAATGTTGAAAATGGACCCTCTATCAAGTTTCTTGTGCACAATATGCATACTATGATGGAGATGAAAATGTCCGGAAATTGTTTGAAAGTGAGTGATTTTTTCCTTTGTCTTTCGCATCATTTAGAATGATAGCCTTTAGGCATCGAGACCCATATTATCATTCGATAGTCGCTTTGACGAAGAACCTCATTTGATGCTTATAAAACAAGTGATTACTCAGGTTAGGCTTTTTCAATCTTACATATCTCTCCCCAAATTTTTTTGCACTCAAATTGCCTTCGCTTCGTCTTTTGCGTCTTCTCTCTCTGCTCTTGTTGAAGAATTTTTCGTTTTTATCTAACATCCAGTATATCTTTCGTTGCTTCATTTTCCCACATACGCACAAGAACGCATTTGCATCTGTCCGCTAGCTCACATTTATCACTTCCCTTCCTCTAGATTCTTCCCTTAGCTTTCCTTGTATTCTTCTCTATCCACGCATGTTTACTGCCAATTTCCCTCATTTCGTATTCCGTCGACAGGACAGCAATTGTGCATTCAAACCTTATTCTGCTTGACTGCATGTAATCTTGGGATCAATTTCTCTTCCAAAAACTTTTTTTTTGTAGAAAAATGATGAACAATAGGAAAAATCGGAAAATAGGCATAGGAAGATGCAAAAAATCTAACCATCCAGACAGTATTCAGATACAAACACAAACCAATTGAAGAGGTGATCGTTAGGCTTAGACGCGGAAACATTGATATGCGTGCACTTCCATCGTTTTATGTCGGCTGCAAAAGTGAATGGTTTGTGTGTTAGTACCATTTGCAACAGTTGGTCATTTTGTGCTTATTGCGCCTGAAGCTGGGACATGTTTGAGTGGAGATGGGTCTAAACAAAGCCTATTAGGCTTAGGTCGACCTTGCATTAGTTCAACTTTTCTCGGTGTCGAAGCTGTTCAGAATCTCAGGAGATGTTATCCATTGGTATTTATACTGTCATGAGTTATGAGGTGTAAAGACAGATAAATTGTGCGTGCAACGAATTTTGCAAAAGCCTTGCTTCATGTTCTTATGCTATCCGTCCTTGGTCGGCTTTATGTTGTCCATTATCGTTCCGATAAGACACGTTTGGTCTGTAGAGAGGCAGCGAAGATAAATTGTATAGTCATTCATTTTCTGGCGGTGCTGTCTTTAGTCAGAGCCAGACAAAAGCTGTTCTGGCAGTTTTTTTTGCATATTTTCTGTGTCTTAATTCCTAAAAACACCATGAGCGGAGCTTCGATGGCTTGAACTATTGGTAGATCTGGCCAGCTATGCTAATTATAATTGTTGAGAAGTTTTTTTTGTGCACTTTCTGCATCGGTAAATCGACTGTGCTCCAACTGAGCCAGAAATTATGGTCATTTCACGCGTCATGTAATTCTTTTCCTCTATCACTTATAATCTTTGCAGTCTAATTTCTTCAAATAAATTGAACATATGCCTTCCTAAATTCTTCTCAAAGTCAACGTCGCGAGTCACCAGTTAGGCTTTTGTATTCCATTAATGCTTAAGCGCAAGCTGTAATGCTTTTGGCGCTTGCGAACCTGCTGGACTTGCACTCTAGCTTTTTCGTATCTTTTTTCTGGGGCGTTGTAAATCCTATTGACGTCAATGGACCTTGCAGCCTAGTGGGTTTTTCGTACATCGTTAGCATTCGGCTAAAGTTTGCTGTCTTTGCTGCAAACCAAACTTTGTGCCCACCCACGTCCGTAATAGCGCCTTGACGGCAAAACAGCGCCGCCGCCGCTTTGTAATGGCGAATTCATGTCCGCTTCCTCGCGCACGCTGAATAATCGAGTGCATTCAGCTTTCTTTTGCACTGAAATGCAGGAAATTTGCTTCGCGGCTAAACTATTCTCTTCTTTAGTCACCAATCCTTTTCTGTTTGATATTATTTGCAATCATTAGGTTTGAAACGAAGATTTGCAACTAATTCATGACTTTCTCTTTTTCCAATGTGGCGCTCAAGTTCTGGGATGATGTAGAGCGTGGTGTAAGCTACAATTTGCCCAAGCTGTTAGGTTTTTTTTGAAAAATAGAAAAATTTAGCTATTTTCCGGAAGCGGGTTTTTTGTGGGCCACTGGTCACATACCCGGTTTAGTTCAGCCTAAAACCAGTTATTTGGAGATATAAGTAACATTTAATTTGTTTTGAAGCTGATAATCTGCACAAATTTGTATTCCAAAATATTTTGGTGTATTTGTACAAACTGCTCAATTCTTGATTAACACAATGCAAGAGTCCAAGCGTTTTAAGGAAGTCGGGAAATGAGTAGGTAAAAATTGAAAGTTACGCACTTTGCTCCCTGAATAGTTCAACATGTCGAAAGTATTTGAATCGCAGAGGTTTCTTTAGCAACTTAAATGTGCAACTTCGATTCAAGTTGTTAGATCCAGGCTGAACAGCTTTATTTTTGAATCTGACCCTCTAATTTCGAAAAACTTGCAAAAGCCTAAGTTCTTCCTATGTTCTTATCACAAACCAGACAGTTTGGGCATGTAAAGTTCAGACCACAGTCTTCACAGCGCAAGAATTTGAGCGCACCACATCAAGCAGAAAAAAGCTATAAAATTGGCTGCAAATTTTTAACCTGATGTCTTCTGCACGAAGAAATTTCTCTCACATTTCTTGCTCCTCCGCAGAGTTATGTTTGCTGAACATTATCTAACGAAGAATTTCTTATTTGTTTGCTTTGTGCAAGGTCAGGGTCAACGCGCACGACTGGCAACTACTTGGACGCATTCATGTGTGTTCAATGAGTGTTCACCACGATGTCCTACATCTCTTCTCACCAATGTAGATTCCCTTTTCAATTTATTTCATGAAGACTGCGTCCTTCCGTTTGTTTCGATTACTTGCTTCTTACTTCGTTAACGAATCCTGCACTTTTGTTATTCACGAATTCGTCAGACGCTCAAGTATTGACGAATTCATAGAAGGAAGTTTGGTCTACTAGAGTCTTTTCTTCTGTTTCACCTCTAACCTGATTCTACTTGTCTCGTCTACAACTTTGAGAGAAATAGGTTTGAAATAGAGTTTCGGACGCAACTCGTTGATTTCTCAGTCTTTATCATGAATTGTTACTAGTTGATTTACACCTTGATTTCAAAAAAAAAAGCATGAAAAGTGTGAAATATGTTGGAGCTTCATACTCTCTTAGACATGTCATCGGCTGTGTTATGGTTATTTCCGGATGAGAACATCTTCAGAACTTGGAAAGGTTTCATGGATTATCGGAAAATATTTGGAAATTCCGAAGTTTTTTTTTGCTATCCTCAGCGTCCGTATGACTTTTTTAAGCTAATTATAAGCTCTTCACAGGTTCTCCTTGATCTTTTTTTGAATTTTTGGGTTATTTTTTTGGATGAGAGAGGGACAATCCACCTAATTTGTGTTCCGTGCACCATATTTCGGAAACAGATCGATTTAAACCTTGAAATTCTTTCCTACTTCTAGTCTTCGTCTCTCTCAACTCACTTCATGTATTTGCAGCCTCCATTTCATAGTTTTATTGAGGAGGAACAGGTTTCGTACTCTTTGTACAAAAACTTCCTTACAGACCTTCAGCACACCAAATCATCATCCACGTAGTCAGCCGTTCTTCGACCATGTGTTCTCATTTTCCGTCACCCCAGATCTCAAGATATGGTTTAGAAATTTCCAAATTGTCGATGAGTCATTGCAGTTGCAAGAAATTGGTGAGTTTCTGGGGTTGCAAAACTTTGGCTAAAACATTTACTGTTTTTTAGGACCCAGATTTGTCCTGGAAACAATAAGGATATTTTCTGGATCGTTTGATGGCGCCGTCTTATATGATAATCCTGATTATGAGAGCCCCAATGCTAAGAGGAGGGCAATAAAGCTTGCAAGCAAAGGAAAATATATAGAGAAAGAGCTGCATAAAAAGGTAGAATTTGGTATTTGGTATCTCTACTTTTTTTGATTTTTTTTTGTTGTAAAACTAATGTTTATAGGCGAATTTGGTGAAAGCACAGCAGATCAAGGAAGTTATAGCCGAAAAGATGGAGGATCCGGTTGGAGAGGTATGCTGTCTTTTTCATCCAATAAAAGTAAAAAACGAAATTACAGACCTTATAGATAACACATTACTTTTGCTGTCAGCATGGCGTTTCCGAAGTTTAGGGGGAGGGGGAGTGGGGCAGAATCCGAAGAGGATGACTAATTCCTCCAAAATCGGAGTGCTTTTAAATTTTTTGTACCCTTCAACTTTAAAAAAAATTCATAAAACTGAAAAATCATTTGAATTGTCAAGCAAAAACAAGTCATCACGCTTTGTAACTCGTGTAAAATATCCTTCAATAATTTTACGGGCCCTTTTTAATCTTTCGTTCCGCCAGGCGTGTTAATCATCTACATGATTCCGATAATCCGAAACAATTTCAGATCTTCGATGTAAAAGAAGAGCCCGAAACAGAAGAGGCACAGAAAATTCTAGCAAAGATAGATAAAAAGAAAAAGAAGAAGAAAACTTTCAAAAAACCAAAGTACACAGGACCGGAAGCTGTCTGAACCTGTTGAAAGCACCGGTCTATTGTTACGGTCTTTTTTCAGTCGAGTCTTTGTTATTGTTGCTGCCAACTGCATTGTTATTGTTACTTGTTGTTGTATATCTGTGAGACTTTGTTTACATATAAAATAAATGTTTATATAAAGGCTATTCATGGTAATTGGAGTTTTACGCAGCATATCGATCTCAATTTTCACACTGATATTTATTGCAGAATAAAGTAAATATCGCTTCAGAATGTCAAAGAATGATCCACTATTGTTTCGAGAAGCTGTGGAATGGCAGCAAGAAGCCACAAATTGTCATGAGGTGGTGAGTACTTGCACACAAGTCTTTTTTCTAATTCCGTTATTGAATAAATTCGGCAAAAACTGGTCTCCGCAGAACCAAATATTCTTGTCTTTGAGGCTTGAGGCACAGCTTTTTATATCAAAGTGATTAGTCATGCCCATTATGCTAAGTTTTTTCTGTGATTGAAATTAGTTGAGTCATGTGAGCACACTAATGTGCGAGAACTGGTCCCCATTGACTTTCTCTAATTTCTATGAGGTCTGACCGTTCAATTGAAGCTGTAAATATATCTTGTTTGATTTGCTTGTTTTCTCTAATCGCACTATTTAGGGGATTCAAAATAACATCTTTCCAGCCAGATACTGCTGCCGATCGATATGTTAGGATAAATGTTGGTGGAGCATTGTTCCAAACGACTATTGCCACTTTGACGAAACATGATACCATGTTACGAGCGATGTTTAGTGGACGAATGCAAGTAAGCTGAAAGCATCTAATTGACTCTCGAAGAATTTCAATCAAATTTTCCTTAACAGGTGGTCACTGATTCGAATGGTTGGGTCCTCATAGATAGAAGTGGGAGACATTTTGGTGTAATTTTGGACTTTCTTCGTGATGGGTTCGTCCCGCTTCCTGATTGCCGTGTTGAAGTTGAGCAGATTCTTGCTGAGGCGAGATACTATCTTGTGCAGGTGAGTTTGGTTCAAAGAGAGACACTGTTCGATGTGCGAGAACTGGTCTTCTGTCATTTTCTTTTGATTATAAGTTCTCTTATGTTGGCAGCCCTACGACATCTTCGGTTAGATTTTTCTCATCCATGTGAATTGTGAACTCACAATTTCAAAACACCTCACTTAGGACCTGGCGGCCGAGTGTCAGTCGTGGTTGGAAGCTTTGCGAGCGCGTCGGGACATTCGCGAACCCACAGCGACATGCAGTATCCCTGTAGTTCATACCAAAGCTGAAGCGGATCGTCTTGTATTGAATTCTGTAAAGGTAATTTGGATCTTTTTTATCGTGTGTTGATGCACTGGAAAATATTTTCAGCCTGCGATAAAATTGCTTATCAACCGTCATAATAACAAATACTCGTATACCAGTCAGTCTGATGACAATATAATGAAAAATTTGGAACTGTTCGATCGACTTGCGGTGAAGTTTCACGACAGAATCTTGTTTGTCAAAGGTATACATCTTCTCTCCTAGAAATTTTTGCAATGAGGGGAGGAGTACGGTTTATATGCTATCGTCTCCTTTAGGGCTGGCAAGCGATAATTTTTGCACTTTACTATATGTATCAAAGAAGAGAGTCTTTCCGCAAGAGACTTCGCAATAACAATTTCTCACCTTGCAAATGCGTCGAAATTGTCAAGTTTTTGTTTAGAGAGGATGTTTATGCGCTATCTTGCTTCCTTTAAGGTTCTATTTTTCACCGGTGTTTGTACCCATGTGAATTGTATTCAAAATTTTGTTTTCTAGATGTTGGGTCGGAATCATCGGAAGTTTGCCAGTGGAAATTTTTCGGGAAAGGAGCCAAAAGGGCCGAAGTATGCTGCACATCGATTGTCTATGCTACGGACAAGAAACAAACCAAGGTAAGAAATATTGCTGATTTTGGACTGCCACAGTTCTCACGGCCTCAAGGGTCACTTGCTGACCAATTCCTGAGAAGTTTCGCTTTAGAGCGTGTTATCTTCTCTATATCTCTAGTAAATCACTTCAGGTGGAATTTCCTGACTCCAAGATATACGACGAAGCCATGTCGATTCTACGCTACGAAGAAAGAGGCTTGTGCAGTAGGTGAGGTGATTCTACTCAATGTCTCTCTTTGCCCACTAAATTCAAATTGTAAGGTGTGGTGGAGAAGCTTGCAGCCCAAAGGACACTGGCACCCCTCCAGAAGGTATCAGTGATTGACTGTTGTTAATGCCCTGTTTGGAAATGCTAGACCAAATGTTCCACCCTAGCTGTTGCTTTGAAATTTTGTGATTCTATTTTACTAACATGTTCATCTCCTGTCTGATGAAGGAAATTTCTCGTCAAAATCATTGTTAGATCTCTAGAGATTAGTCCAAGTAGTCATCAAAAATTTTTCTGTGACTGTTGACGCCGAGCGTATAAATATATCTAGTCGATTCATAACTCGTTGCCTGTAGTTTGATTGTTTTAGATATTTGCAATAAAGTTTATTGGTAGCATACGAATTTGCAGTGATGCTTGATGTATCCTCAAGTCATCTGTGTGAGATTGCACAATATGCGCGGTAACCGACGACACTTTCCTTAGTAACTCCTCACGGTAATTTTTTCTAGCGTAACAGATGTAGAAATTAAGTGACTAATACATAACATGACACTGCAATGAAATCAGAAAAAGGAAACAAGGAAACAAGGGAAATTATTGAAAATGAGCAGGTTTTAATTTGCAAGTCGTCAAGTAGCGCGTTTGGTGTGCAATACGCATAGTAAATTACGAAAGATTCAACGATAGGAAGAGTGACTTGTAGAAACTGGTCCCGAGCTGGAGCTCCACGCAATTTGGGTCGATCATTTATGGAGTCCATTACCGAGTAAACACACTCGAGTATCTAAGTCGGCCCTCTCGAGCCATTCCAAAAATTAGTGTATTGACGTTTCAAACAAAAGTACCTAGTTTCGTGTTCGGGCGCTCAACTATCAGGAACATCTACCTACCTGTAGGGTGCCCATTTGTCACCTGGATGCACTCCGAGCATGCCACCAAAGGTGACGTCGTAGTTTTGACAGGTTAGCTCTGACCTCGTGTACTGCGAAATTCATGCTAGTGGTATTGATTTTCTGATTCGGAAGCTTTGACATGATAAGACAGGATATTTGACATGACTAAACGGGGGATAATGCCATGGTTAAACAGGATAAGCTGACATGGCAAAACAGGATAAGCTTTGACATGATAAGACAGGATATTTGACATGGCTATACAGGATAATGTCAGTGGGAGTGCACAGATGGGATAGCGACTAATCTCTGCTTTTTTCATATCAAAATCTAAAGTTCCAATTCTGCTTCATGGTCCAGTGGTTGCGCAGAATTTTTATTATGGTCATCTGGGTAAACAATTTGGTTACACACGAAACGTGTAATAATAGATTTTGGTAGAAGTTTTGTGAGTTTCTATCAAATATTGAAGCTCATAGTTATAAATCTGATGACTGTTCAAATACTGTCTATTTAGAAAATGCAAAAATTTCCAGTTCCATTATCTTGGACTTCCTCAAAATTAATATGGCTGTTATTCTGCAAAAAGTTCAAATTTGTTTGAGGGAAATTGAAAAATTCACATGATAGAGCTACGGAAATCCGCGCTGCGACCACAACAGCGGTGCGGTCGTGAAGTGCGCGACTTGATCAGTATATACACAAAAAAATTTTACTGCCTGGATCAGTGCTTGCCATTTAGTAACGCAGAATACTTACCATTAAACTCAAGACTGCAGTCATCGTAGTTTTAAGGCAACGTAACAATCTCCACATATAAACTGAGTAAGATTATAGCGTTACATCGTAAATCTTGAGGTAATAATAAAGTTGAAGTGATGTTTAATAGTGCATTTAGTGCCTCACTTGCGGCACATCGATCAAATAAAAAATATGTCAAAGTGGGGGTCAAAAATCTGAGCGGATCTACGTTTACGTAAGATACAAGCTTTAATTATCGAGCCTGCCTCTGTTGGGTTTTCTTGAGAAAAGAAAAATATCTCGTCTTGTGCTAGTAAGTCACTCAAGTTGCCTATTTTCGAAAAAAATACCGCTTTCAAAGATTTTACGATTAAAGTAGGTTTGAATAAGTTAGTTAGTTGAATAAGGAATATGTTTATGCCAATTTATGCCAATTATATACTAAGATTCAGACCAAAACAAACTCAGAAATTTGGTTCTGAGCTTATTTTGGTAGTTTCAATTTAGTAAAATGTTTAGAAGCGTGTTCCAAGATTGGGCACGCTGTTTGCTCATTCATAACTCCCTTACTTAAATGTCCTTTGCGATCTCTAGGTATCACTCTGTAGAGTTTGCATCAAGTTAGGTTTACAGTTTCGAACAAGTTACCGATATCTCATTGCTGTAGGGTTACGGTAACGGCGGGGTTACGGCCCTTTGATGGATCCCCCTCCCCTCCCCCCCCCCCAAAAAAAAATCGGTCTCACACATGATGATTTCATTAGATAGTAACTTTCTGCAGTTTTCTGTGCTTTTTTTTGTTGATGTAATCACATTTTGACAAACATTGGTTTTGTTAATGTTGCAATTTAGAGAAAGCTAATAATGATTATGGATTCCGCATAAAAATCTAAATCCAAAAGTTGATGAATGAACTACGCACAACTATCAGAAAATTACGTATGACATTTTCACTTTAGAAATTATTGATGAAATTATCGGAAGACATAGTTTCGGAATAACAAACCAATCACAGAAAATTTAGCAATATTCCTCTCTTATAGGTAATGGTTTGCTGTTTCAAAGTTACAAAAACAGCTGTCAAGTTCAGGTTTATATTGGTACTCCACACAGTAGCATCAAATCTTTGGCTATTGAGCTGAGAATAGCTTTTACACCTGTAAAGTGTCATGCCATAAATACAGTACCAACACTGCCGCCTTGAAATCCTACGTTATAAACGCGCTGTCGCGCCGGAAGTGCCGCATCGCGATAGTTCGCCTGTACTTCAACCAATCGCATTCTAGTTTGAATATTTTTGTGGTCTTAGGCTTGTCTTTCAGAGTTTCTAAGATTTATTCTTTGAAGTGACCAAATTTCACATTCAGCTTATTTTAACCTCGTAGACCATAAATTGTTGAACAGTTCAATCACCATTCGATGCAAATTTTTCTCCTCTTTCCAATACTTGTCCCTTTTGCCGAGGCAGGCAAAATCTGTGGGGAAAATCGCAGTATTTTTCAAAATCAGGGGTGCGCACTGACATAACCTATGTTTCAAAATCTTCACAATTTAAAGCGAAAATCGCTCATTTATTTTATAGGTAGCGGTAGTAATAATCGTGCGTTGAAACCTCAGTTTTCTGTAGGTTCTGCAGTGTTTGGTACAATGAAAGGTTATGCGATTTTTCCAAAACACAAGACTTTCAGAAAATTACTTAGCAAAACCCTGAAAAAGCAGCTAAGAAAAGAAAAAATTGCTTCTGTTGGCAAAAGGTTTGCCCTATCTGCTAGTTATTAGGGCTCCTCCGAAAGTCTCATAAAAATTTTTGAAAATTAGCGAAATTCGGACATTGTAAAAACGAGTGGTTGTAATTTCCGGCAAATACGTCATTTTCTCAACGAAACATAACGGGAGTTTCTAGAAAAAGGAAGAAATTCTGCATCGGATACATTTTGGAGCGTTTGTTTATCTTCATTCTAGCGTGTTTGCCGATATATTGAAAAAAGTGACAAAACTTTCGGACCCACCTAATATACTGTAGCAGATATAATACATCTGATAGAGTACACTTTGGAAAACAATTTCCGTTGTTTCATTATACACACTACAAACAAAAAGTTGGTGTTTCTCAGAAAACAACTTTAGCCCACTATCAGCTCATCTTATATTTTCAAATATCACGAGTGCCACCGAAGGATTCCTTAGATACATAGGATTAGTATAAAGGATAAAGGATTCGGTGTCTTCAGTACCCCCTGCGGGTACTCGCCGAACGCGCACTATTTCATAATCGAAGAGGCATCTGTATTCTGCGAGCCTATTACGGTGGAGTATACTTGGGTCCGAATCGAATAGAAATTCGATCATTCGAATAAAACATTCGAATATATTCGTATTCGAAATTCGATATTCGGAGTTCTTCCATTTTCGAATAATATTCGAAACTCGAATAATCAAAAAACGAGGTTTCGAATAGATTTTATTCGAATGTTTATTCGAATTCGAATTCGAATGACTCCGTATTCAGATTATTCGACTTTGTTGCAAAGCCAGCTGCTGAGTATCAAGCTCACTTCGTCCGCGTTTTTTCGCAAAACTCGGTAATGCATCTTTTGCAACCGTTATACCTTTGAACTGTATGGAGAGTCGCATTCTTCGGACTCCTTGCGACAGTAAAAAAATCATATGTGGATTTTAATTAATGTAGAAAGTAGAGCAAGCCCTTTGCTTTTGCATTGTTGATGCTGATAAGAAATAAAGTTAATTCTGGTGTACATCAGTCTTTTTCAGACCATCTGAAGAAGAATCTTTTGGACACAGCATAAAAATTTATGACTGCTTTTTAGATCGTCCATAATGGGTAAAATATGACTTTTTGCTGATGTATAGACTAGATGCCGACAGACCGAGTTCATCGATTTTTGGAAAATCTTGAGCTACGAGGTTGGGAATTGGTACAAAGGGGTAAGTGAGGGTGCTGATTATGGAAAAAATTTACTTTATAAATTTTATTGATTTTTGGAAAATCTTGAGCTACGAGGATGGGAATTGGTACAAAGGGGTAAGTGAGGGTGCTGATTAGGATAAAAATTTACTTTATCGATTTTTGGAAAATCTTGAGCTACGAGGTTGGGAATTGGCACAAGGGGGTAAGTGAGGGTGCTGATTAGGATAAAAATTTACTTTATCGAATTTTGGAAAATCTTGAGCTACGAGGTTGGGAGTTGGTACAAAGGGGTAAGTGAGGGTGCTGATTAAAACCAAAATCTATTTTATTGTTTTCAGCAATTTTTGAAAAATTTCGAGCTAGGAGTTGGTATAGGGGATACTAGGGGGCTGATTATGATTGGATCGGCTTTAGTCAGATATGTCGGCAAGTTTGAGATGTGATTGCTTTAGTTATTCGATAAATCATTCGAATATTTATTCGAAATTCGACTTCCAATGTCCGAATATATTCGATATTCATTCATTCGATATTTTTGTTTTTTAGAATTTATTCGAAATTCATTCATTCGATATTTTTGATTTTCCGAATTTATTCGAAATTCATTCATTCGATATTTTTGATTTTCCGAATTTATTCGATATTCGTTTATTCGAAATTTTTCCTTCTCGAATTTATTCGATATTCATTCATTCGATGAAAAATTCTCGAATTACCCAAGTATACGGTGGAGTACATTGGCCATTACTTAATAATAATATGGAAAAAACAATGTAGAAGATTTGTTTGAAAATTCATTATTATAAACTCCAAAAGCTATATATTAGGTCGT